TGCAAGAGGCTCCCAGGATGCCCAAATCGTTCAACACCAAATTGTTAAATGATTGGTTCATTTTCGCACTTTCGCTCCTGATGGGCTTCCGAGCTGCCCAGATGGCTCCAAGATCGCCCACGATAGCTCCCATGCGCAGCCCAGAATAGATTCACGGGCTCCCAACACCCCCAAGAGCGTCGCAGGAGCGCCCCAATAGAGAATCAAGAGGGCTCGAATAGGTCCATGAGCTACCCAAGTGCGTGTATTCATGAATGAGAGGCCCCAACATGGCACGAGACAGCCCCAGGAGGATGCCCTGAGATAGCCTCCAGGTGCTCCCAGGAGGCCCAAATGATCCTCCTCGATGCACCTCCAGGAGGCTCCCTGTAAGCAGCCAGAGACGTCGGGATGCACGATGCACCTGAGAGACATCCAACAACCCACTGATTCCTCCTAGAGTCCCAAGAACCCCCGAGAACCCCCCATGAGTCGCTCGCAAACATCCCCCGACGGATGGGAATTCCGCAAACCAACCTATGTCGAATCGGCACGAATAGCCCTCCCCACCTGCCTCACGCCAAACGTAAACCTGCTCATGCTGTGCATGAAACTTCCTTGCCGCCTCATGTTTGCTGGCTCCGATGGAAAACTTGGACTCGCCCTCTTACAAGACCAAACATGGAACACAGTGAGAAACCGTGAAAAATCGATCGACCGATCATTCATCCCTTCGCAATCGCATAACCAGCCCACATTGGCTTCACCCTCTCACCAATGGCACTTCCCAGCACGGCCAAATGCCAACAGCAAACTATATGAGCCAGCGGGATGCACGAATCGATTGGATAATTTAGCTCCAGCGCGAATGGGCATGCGAGACGGTCGGAACTAGGGCCGAACGGAGGAATCCGACGACTGCGGGGGGTAGGCGCAGTCATCGGGGACAGTCGAGCAAGACGGGAAGTCGCAAACAGCACGCACGACATCGGGCGCCGCGCATGTCGTCTTCTGGGGTTGGCGGAGTGGCGTGAGCTTCCTTGAGCCGTCGGGGGCCAGTCGAGCACGGGGCCGAGCGGAGGCAGTTCGCGGCGGCGGATGGGGGACAGGCGGGGACGGGCAAGCAGAGGACGATCGACGGTGGCGGGGGGCAAGCACAAGCATCGGGGGCGATCGGGCACGCGGCTGCACGCGGGACGACATCGGTCGGCGGCGGCGGAGAACAACCGCCAGGGCCGAGGGCGGCCAGGAGCGGGGCCGAGCAGAGGAAGGCTGGCGGCGGCAGCGGCTGAAGGCGAGCGCCGGGGTCGGGGACGGAGTCGGAAACAAGGGCGGCGGTGGGCGGCAGGCAAAAATAGGCAGGGACGGGGACGGGGTCCGAGGGAGGAGGAGGAGGAGGGGGAGGAGGAGGAGGTTGAGGAGGAGAAGGAGGAGAAGGAGGGGGAGGAGCCCAGCTATACAACTACACCGACCCTCGCCAGGACCATCCCGTACCCAAGATCGGGTCCTGAGAAGCTTTTCCGGATAGCTTCGGCATGGTCCTGGAAGGCTTTTCGTCGTTGAAGGGGGAAAGCCAGTCACTAGCGAACCAAGGCTTTCTAAGTGTAGACGCCCTCTTTGGCTCTGGAAGAAAACATATACACACCGATCCTGGGCCCAGGAACTTCCTGGCAAGGAACGACGTGGGTGCAGAACTATTGCCTGTATATAACCAGATGCCGCGGATAATAAACACACAGGAATAATAAAGTTCGGGGTTTTCGGGGAGATAATAAAAGTTGCCCGCCAGAGCCAGCATAAAGAGATATCAAGAGGAAAAAGCCAAAGATATCTGGAGGCCTAAGGTGGCTCTAGGGGTAGGCTCTAAGGGGGCTCTAAGGGTAGGCCTAGGGTAGGCCGGTCTAAGGGGGCTCTGAGGAGGCCTAAGATTAAAGGCCTAGGGGTAGGCTCTAAGGGTAGGCCTAGGGTAGGCCTAGGGATGGGCCTAGGCGTGTAGGCCTAGGGTAGGCCTAGGGGTAGGCCCTAGGGGTAGGCCTAGGGGTAAGCCCTAGGGGCATGCCCGAGGGGTGTGCCCGAGGGGGAAGGAGAAGAAATACAGAGAGTTAAATAGAAAGATAGAAAGAGAAGAAGAGGAAGGGGAGGCAGAGGAGGAAGAGGAGGAAGAGGATGAGGAAGAGGAGAAAGAGCAAGAGGAGGAGAGAACAAGGAGGAAGCAAACATCCAAAGTTCAAAACTTCTTACATTTAAATTTGTAAGCGCTTAATGATAGCTCATGTGCTTAATTTTCCCAAGATACTCAACCCCAGCGATAAACAAGTTCAGGGGGGCAGGGAGACGAGAAGAAAGATACATAAAAAGAGAAGAAGAGGAAGAGGAGGTAGAGGAGGAAGAGGAGGAGAAGGATGAGAAAGAGCAAGAGGAGGAGAGAAGAACGAGGAAGCAAAAATCCAAAGCTCAAACTTTATTAGATTTAATTAGTAAACGCTTAATGCAAATTAAACTTTCATCTGCTCGTGTAGGGGTAGCTCATGTGCTTAGTTTTCCCAAGATACTCACCCCCAGCGATAAACAAGTTCAGGGGGCCAGGGAGACAATAATAAACAAAGTAGACACAGAAATATAAAGAAAGAAGAAAAGGAAGAGAAGAAGGATGAGAAGGAGGAAGAGCAGGAGAAGAAGAGCAGGAGGTAGAAACAACAATCCAAAGTTCAAAATTTTACTAGATTTAATTTGTAAGCGCTTAATGAAAATTGAAATTTTCATCTGCTCGTGTGCTTCGTTTTCCCAGGATATTCAACCCCAGCGATAAACAAGTTCAGGGCGCCAGAGGGAGGAGGAGAAAGAAAGACAAAGAGAGAGACAGAGAGAGAGAGAGAGAGAAACAGAAAGAGTCTGATTTCGCTTGAGACATCCTCGAGTATATGCTTGCTTCGCTTGAGACATCCTCGACAAGTTTTCGCTTCGCTTGAGACATCCTCAAATAATTGCTCGTTCCGCTTGAGACATCCTCGAAATATTGATCGTTTGGTTTTAGGCAGCCTCCCCAAATTATTGGTTTCGCTTGAGACATCCTGAAAGAACGTGTTCGCTTCGCTTGATGTTGTTATCTCAACATAAGAAGGAAGTAACCTCGATGGCGAACTTTCCCAGTGATAATGAAGTTCGGCCTCTGCGCCCTCCGCCTATATTTGAAATCCTTCTAGGCCGACGATAAAAAACTCTAACGACTTAAGGGGGGGTACTTTACTATCCTCGGCAGCAGGGTGTTTGGTGCCCTCCGACCGACGGAGGAATTCAGCGACGGAGGGGGAACATTGGCCACGCGCAGAGGGGGTAGGCGAAGGGGGGAAGGCTTCTTAGAAGCACCCTGCTTCTTAGAAGGCGTGGGCTTTGTCTGTAGATGGAAGGCTGGCGCCTTCTATCGGGGGCGCGCAAACATGGATTAGCGACCCATGGATTTGGCGCGCGATCGCCAAATCCATGGATCGGGGGAAGTGCCCTCCCCAGAATACGGCTGGTGCCGCCTCGCTCGGCGGTGGAAATCCGCAATTTCTCATGGAAACGGGACCCGTCGCTAATCCACGCCCCTTGCTCCATGCCTGCGATCGCCTGATTCCAAGAAGCAGCCTCCTTCTAAGACGCCTTCCCCCCTCCCCCTGCCCCCTTCTGCGCGCCGCCGCGAGAACCACGGTCGGGGGCAATCGGAGGCCAGGGGCTGGGCGGAGAACCTCCGTGGCGGCGGAGAGCGAGCACCGGGCCGGGGGCCATCGGGCGGGGGCAACGCGAAGGAGGTCGGGGGAGGCGGCGGGGGCGGCGGAAAGCAGGCGGCAGAGCCGGGGGCAGTCGGCCGCAGGGCCGAACGAAAGACGCTGGCGGCGGAAGAGCAGGAGAGACCAATGTCGGAGGCTGTCAGGGACCGGGCCGAGCCTGAACGGCGGCGGCGGAAGGAGACTCTTCGGAGGAGAAGTGCACGCCACGTCGATACATGTTCTGGGAAACGGAACACAGCAGAGTAACAGCATCAATCCAAACATGCGGATGCCGAGGACACCCACCAAACTCGTCAGGCGTCGAAGCTCGCACCTCGCAATCGCTAGCATCCTCAAGCCACCTCGAACGGAGAAGTTCCTGCTTCCAACGACAGCGCAAATGCGATTGCGCTCTTTTTGCGTTGCAGACACAGAGATTGTACCCCCCTTCGCCCGGCGGAGGGCGCCGAGGAACTACCTCCGCCACCGCCATGGAGAGGGCTTCCCAGCTTCCCAAGTCCACCTCACCGTCTTGAGCGGGAGGGCGCAAGCAATGCTGAGCAGCGCCTTAGGAGGGCAAGTTTCGCTCTGAGCAAGCAAAAGAACTGCCTGAACCCGCAGTGGATCACGCCTGCCAACTGTACAATACTCGCGTGAATCGGGCAAATTCTACGAATGCCACAGGCCGTGTCGATGTCAACTGTGACCCCAGCCTTGTAAGGAGGAGGAGCAGGAGGAGGAGGAGGCGGAAGAGGAAGAGGAGGAAGAGAAGAAGAGATGGGATGATGAGAAGGTGCGAGGAGGAGCCAGGATTCCAGGGGGCGCCCGACTGAAATTTTAAAATGTTCGACGACCAAAATAGAATGGCACACTACTGCATACTTGAAGGCCTTGCAAGACGTCGGGCACGCAACATCCTTTGAAACTGCTGGGATGTCCTATGACTGACATAGCGATCCGTCCGTGATCAGCTCTTCGGCCGTAAGACACGGATCGGCTACCCGAAACGATCCGATCGCCGTGCGCTCACGGAGCGCGTGGCGCAGAGCAGCAAGACTCAGCTCTTCCTAGAGACTCGGGGGGCCTCTGGTAGGTTCGATCCTGAAGTACAAGAAAAAAAGAGAGAAATCGACCAACGCGATGACGAAGGACACTTCGTCGAGTCGAGCGCGGCGCCAACGCCGCGACGCCAGGCGAGCCAGGCTGCACTGGCCTCGCGATGCGCAGCGCCGCCGCGTGCCGAAGCGAGGCGCCTCCCCGCGGGCCCGGCGCTCAGAGCCAGCCGGGCGAGCCCGACGAGCGCGACCTGGACCGGGAGCGGGAGGACTCCGTGTGCGCCCTGCGCAGAGATTCCGCGTGGGGCTGGACGGAGCAGACAAAGTTCGGGGACGGCACCCTGTACTCGTGGCCGGTCCAGTCCAGCTTGCCGGTGGCCAGGTTGAAGCGGAAAACGCCGATGCTGTCGGAGTCCTGGTTCGCGGTGATCAGCCACTGCCCAGAGGCGTCGAACTGGAAGTGGCGCGGCGTGGCGCCGCGGGTGTGCTGGGCGTCGACCAAGGACAGCATGCCGCGGCACGCTCGCTCGTGGTGTACCCGGAAGACAGTAATGCTGTCGTGGCCCCGGTTGGAGACGAGCACGAAATTGCCCGCGGGGTGCACGCAAATGCGGCCGCAAGTGTTGCACTCCTTGGGCCAGGCGTCGGGGACAGTGCCGATCGTCTGCTTCAGCCTCAGCGTGGGGCGAGCATCTTTGGCTTCTACCCTGCCAGTGATGAGGTCCTCTGCGGCCTGCGAGTCGAACTCGAAGACAGACACCTCCGAGGAGAGCTCGTTGACGACGTAGACGAAAGGCAAGCTCGGGTGGAACTCCAAATAGCGCGGGCCGAGGGCGGTGCGTCCGGGAGGACCAGACGGCATGGACCCAGCCGGCTCGAGCGTCGCCTTGTCGTACTTGAACTGGCGAATCAGGTCCATACCCAGGTCTGGGACGTATGCGATCTTGCCGAAGACAGGGTCCAAGATGACCGCGTGAGAGTGCGGATCGGCCTGACGCTCCTTCTGGGCACCCTCGTCGTTGACAGAATGGTTCACGTGATTATCGTGGCGTGCCTTCATGGGCTTGCCCTCGTTGGGGTCGTAAAGCGACCGGAGCCCAGTGAGGCCCCCGGTCCGCCGGTCGATGCCGAACACGCCGATCGTGGCATTCCAATAGTTCACCACAAGCATGTTCTCGCACGCTTTGTCGAGAGTCAGGTAGCACGTCGACGTGCCCTCCGCGCTGATACTGGAGATCTTGGTGAGCTTGCCCCTGTCTTGTGGCGATATGCTCCAGGCGTCGATGATACCGTTCTCGGCGACGGACTCGGTGCAAGTGTAGAGCACGTTTCTGGTCGGGTGGAAGCGCGAGAAGGCTGGGTTCATCGTCACGTCGCTCGACACCGAGAGCATCAACATCTGGCCGTCGCTCGGGTCAAGCCGAAAGGTGTAGAGGCTCCGCTTGGCTTCCGTCCCGCGAGGCCCGTGGGCCAAGTTGTCGAAGCGGGTGTAGCAAGAGACGACCACCAGCGGATAGCTGCACGCCGCAGTCCTCATCTGCAGCGGCAGGCCCGTGGGCTGCTGCTGCTCCTCCGCTTCCTCCTGCGAGAGGGCCTCTTGCTCAACGAGCGCGGTCGTAGGGACACGTGCCATCGCCGAGGGCCCAGAAGTCTGTGAGCCCGCTCAGTGGCTCGCGCGGGCAGTGGAAAAGCAAGCGCGGCCTGCTGCAAAATGGAAGTGCAGAGTGCCTTGGAGTAGCTGGAGCCAAAATGGCTACGGACGGGCTCTTCAAACTGCGCTCACGGTGGCCTTTGCCCAGGCAACGTCCTTCGCTTGAATCCGAGGGTGCTCGTATGACCCCGTCACAGCAGGGATCGAAGCACACAAACAGGTATACACCCGAGGAGCGCATCAATCAAGAAACTTCGATCCCAGTCGCAATGCTCACCTCACTTCGAAGCTGATGGATAGCTGTGCCGGGTGAGAGTGCCGAGCTCATCCCCAATCAAGCGCGATGGATCTACACATTCATCTTGGAATTGAATCGAACGCCCTGCCGTTCATGTCGCTGAGCGGAGGTTCTCGCTCCTCCGTGAAATATGGCGCACACGGGTGGAGGATGCGCTCAGCCAGTTGTATCCTGGGGAACTCGCGTTTTCAGGACAACTGACAACGATCGATCTGACAGAGAGTTCTACCCTTGTGCTATCCGACTGGCTAGCTCGCGATCGTCGCTCGCATCAAGCAAACCAGACTCTCCTCACCATCATTCTTGACGAAACAAACTTATCGTAACAATGGCAACAACAATCTCCTGAGAAGCCCGAGGCCCAAATTAGGTGCCACCAAGAAGGCCCCGGCGAGGCGCAGCTGACAGGAGGGCCCCCTGCATTCCACTGAACCCCCCAGATCCAATCCAAACTTGCCTCCGAGCCTCTTGGACGCAACCCCCGGAGGAACAAAAAACGGTACCAACAGCATGTCTCTGAGCTCCGCGAGGATTTCCTGGATCAGCGCTGGACCCCCCCTCCCTGGCGCGCAGAGCGCGGCAGGGGCGGCCCCGGAGGCGCTACGAACGGGGTCCAGCGCCGATCCAAGAAATCCGCGCGGACCTCCGAGAAATGGTGTCTGTTCATGCCGCTTGTGTACAGTCGGGGCCTTGACCTAAGGAACCCTAAATAAGGAACGAGGCCCCTATTTTCCATAAGTTAAACTTCGATTTCATATCGAGAACCTA